TAACTCTGTATTGTCTGTATTGTGCTTGTGATATGTTGTAAAATGTTGTATGTCTGTTAATGTTTCCCTCCTTTTATCTTTAAAATTAAAAAAAAAAGACCATATCTTAAGTGAAATAAATAAGACAAACATGTTCAAATATCACATGGTTGCTCTGGTGTCAGAAACTGAAAGGGTGAATAAGGAGCAAAATCTACAAGAGATATAGTGAAATAGGAAGCAAATGTTCAAATGGGAGGGGAACTAGGGAGGGAGGGAGGGGGAAAGGAAGGAAGGGAAAGGAGAAAAAGAGAATAGAAAAAAATGGAGGCAAAGCTTTTGAAAATAAGGTGGAGAAGAGCGGTTGAAGGTAGGGGCGAGGAATGGGGCAAAAAGAAGAACCAAGATATATCACGTACGTGTGCAGATTCCCTACAATGAATGTTATTATATATATGTAAAATGTGTAAGTAAAGTTTTTAAGAATTCAAGAAATACACAAAATGTTTTCAAGTTTTAAAAAGGTATAATGGACAAAAAGTGTATAGATTCACAAAAAAGAGAGAAGCCATGCAATATTTATGCTTGTGTATCTGATTGATTTCACTAACATAGTAGTCTCACGATGCACCCATTTTCCTACATATAACTCATTTATTCTTCTTTATGGAAAGAGTGCTCAATTGTGAATAAATGCCACATTGTATTTTTCCATTCTTCTGTTGATTGTCATGTAATTTGCTACCAAGATGTAGCTATTAGGAATTGTGCTGCTATGAACATGGGTATACATTTAATATTATAATCTGATGTCTGTAACTCTTTTGAAAAGATACACAGAAGGGGAATATCTGGGTCAAATGAAACCTCTAATTTTAGTTTTTGAGCAGTCTCCATACTAATTTCCATAGTGGTTGTACTAGTTTACATTCCTACCAGAAATGAGAGTTCTTTTTTTTCCCTGCAGCCTTGCTTGCATTTGTTATTGATTGATTTGATGATGACCATTCTTACTGGAGTAAGATGGAATCTCATTGTTATTTTTAAATTATCTTAATTATGATTTCTGGAAAAAAGGCCTTTTTTCCCATTTCTAGAACTAACCTCCAAATTGCATTTGGAAACATTTGATGCTTATGTTGAGATGGTAGATGGTGCTTTACACAACCTTGATGTTTAGTTTCCATTCTCCTTTGAAGGGAGAGATGTGCTTAGATTAGAAGCAAATGTTTACTATATTGAGGATACTGACAAGTACTTTTTAGGTACCTAGACACCAATATATAAGATTTTTAAAAAAATTTCTTAATTGTTAAAATGACAGGATATGAAAAAAGCATAATAATGCTCTCACATAGGTCGATTTCACAATGATCTTTGATGCTTTTTCTATGAAAGATAGAATACTTCCAGATGTTTTTAAAAATGAAATGGCATACAGGGCTTTGATTATGACTACTGCAATGAGTTTTTTTTTTTTAGTCTTTATTGCCAATAGTAATAATAACCTCTTACATGTTCATGTCAAAGAAAACAATTGACCTTTGTCTTTCCCCTTGTCAGAATCACTCTGAATAGGATTCTTTAAAGTAACTTCATCTATTTTAGGTCCTCTTTTTAGGAGCATTTGAATGTCAAGGACCCGAGGAATGCTTTCCCTTTAAAAACCATATTACAATATGTTAACTAGTGGTTATTTGTATGTATATCCTATTATGACTCATATCATATTGGAAAGTGATGCCCTTCCCTCTATTTGGCCATTTAGCCAGAAACTGAAGGTGTTGTCTTTCCTAAACATTTTCTTATACATAGAAAATGTGTTTAGATTATCTTTTCCTTGCTGCTTGCATATCTGTATGTTCTTATTGATTCTAATTTTGTTAATTTATTTGTATATTATTTGTTTTTTTTTTTTTCTTCTGGTACCGGGACTCAGACTCACGACCTTGTACTTGCCAGATAGGCGCTGTGCCACTGAACTAAGTCCCCAGTCCCTCCTCTTAAATATTTTTCATAGTCTAAATCATTCAAATATTAATTAAAGGGTACTTTTCTCCTTGTTCCTAAAGATATGGAAGAAGTATAGTAGGAATCATTGGTGAGGGGGAGGTCTAGGTTTGTATTTCACTAATTTGCTTTTCACCTTTTTGCAGAACTTTTCATATTAAGTAATCTGTAAAAAGAGAGTGCTTGATTAGTAAGTGATCTTTAGTGAACTTCCTCTAGAGACATGTTTAACTTTGTGCAGTTTGATAAACAGGTATGAAAACTATCCAATGAGGAACTTAGGCAATATTTTTGTTTTTGTTATGATGAGTAATGTTTATGTGTGTTAAATTTTTAAAAATGTAAACACATGAGACATATTGGAAGATTAAAAACATGCTTCTTTAATAGGTGTTCATTTTGAGGAGCAGTTTTTACATGAAGTCAAAATGCCAATAAGACCAGATCTCCAGGTATGTAGTTCTAGAACAGTAGCAATTACAGTAAAACCTTAGATTGCAAGTAACTTGTTCTGTAACTGTTCTGCAAGATGAGCAAATATTTCTAATCTTAACTTGGTAAATCAGTTATGCTTTTCAATAGTGTACAAGTAATAATGGATGCTGAACATCACATGATACAACTAAACTAATGGTTGTTTCTCCCCACAGTGGAATTTTGAGTGATTAACCCCCAATAGCAAGAGGTTGTGGAGGTCTCTTGTGCAAAAAAGGAGGAGAAATCCCTTACTTCAAATGAAACTAGGGAGATGTGTAAAACGTGGGAAACAGTGCAGAATTTTTTAGAAGAGTACCACCCAAATAAGACTGTGTAGCATTGAGGGCAATAAATTTGTTTAACAGCAATGCAATGTCAAATTTCTGTCAAATTCCTCAGAAGACACAAAAGCAAGTACAGTGGATACGTTCCTTATTTAAGTTGCAAGGAAAGAAAAGGTTCCAGGGACCCAATAGATAGCAGTGATTCTGTTAGTGATAGTGAAAGTCTCCCACAAAATAATACTCCTTTCTTCTCTCCTTCACACTAGCCACAAAGGTTTTCAAAAGTAGGTGCAGGTTAATTTATTTTTCTTTATTTTGTATTTTCTTTATTTTGTATTACAGTTTTGTAACCATTTTTATATGAATATTTTTGGGTCGTGGAATGAATCATCTGAGTTTCCACTATTTCTTATGGGAAAATTTGTTTTGATATACAAGTGTTTTAGATTATGAGCATGTTTCCAGAATGAATTATGCTCACAAAGATTTTACTGTATTTTAATTTTTAAAATCTCCTTTTGTGTGCTAACCTATAGCAATAACAGAGCAATAACAATGCTTGAATAGCTTAATTTAAAATAAAATTCATTACATTTATTCAATAAATATGTTTTCAGAAGCTATATTAAAACATAAAGCATTAAAGATGCTGGATCTATATATCTTTTACATTGAAAGACTTATGATTAACATATTATACCTGGATTTTTTTTGTTGTTTTTTGTTTTTTTGGTACCAGAAATCAAACTCAGGACCTTGTGCTTGCCAGGCAGGTGCTTATGCCACTGAGATATATCCCTGGCCCATACCTGGATATTTTTTATTTCAACTCTTAAAATTGTAAGATTCCTACATTTAGATAAATGCTGTTTTTAAGTATCTGCTTAACATGTATGCAAGTTCCTACCAAGTCCCTTCAATGATCTGATTGTAATCTGAAAACTCCTTATAACTGAAGTTTTATTTTAATACCTGGGATAGCAGGTTTTGTGAACATTATAACTATTATATAAGGTAATATTTAAATTATGTTGGTTGAAATTGTTTTTAAAAAGTGCTTTGGCCTATCTTTATGCAACTTCCTTTACTGTTTTAATCCTACTTAGAAATAGGTAGTTATGCTGAGATTTTAATCCATAGTATTAGGTATTAGTTACTATAAAGTTACTTTTTACTTTTCTCAAGTTTTGTTGTGTTTTATATAATGATGACTTTAACAATAAAAAATATGAACTAGGAATATTCGTAATTTTTCCTATTTAGAATTTTGTTACCAAAGAAACTTAATTTTAACTCCATTTCTTCAAATTTAATAGTGGATCTTTTAATGAAGTGAATTAACATTTTGTGAGCTGGATTGAGAGTTTTCATGTGAAAATAATTTTGATTCAATATATGTGCCTTTAACTATGTTTCTCTAGCAGTTGGAAAAATGCATTGATGATGCATTAAGAAAAAATGATTTCAAACCTTTGAAAACACTTTTACAAATTGATATTTGTGAAGATGTGAAGATTAGATGCAGCAAACAGTTTTTCCACAAGTTGGATGACCTTATATGCAGGGTAAATACTCACTTACGTTAAAATACAAGAATTCTGTTTTCTAGAAAGAAGTACTCTATTAGATGAATGGAAAGGCTTGCATAAGTTTGCTCATAATTATACAAAGAAGTACTTATTTATTTTTTATTTTGTAGTGCTAGGGATTGAATCAGGGCCTTTGCACTAAGCTCCATCTCCCAGCCTTTATTTTTATTTGAGACTGGGTCTTGGAAAGTCATGAAGTTGCCTGGTTGGGCTCCAACTTTGAATCTTTTTGCCTGAGCCTCCTAGAATGACTGTTATTAAATATTATTACTTGGGGCGGGGAGTTTACCTATTTGAAGTCTAAAATCTTGATCTATATTTTAAAACCTATCAGCATATTCATGATGTGTGATACAGACGATTTTTGGTGCTTTCAAGAGGAAAGCAGACTAACAAAAATGATCCAATCATGGATTTGATGTCACCAATCTAAAGGGGTTTTCACAGGTCAGAAAAGACGGCTACAGTCAGTCTTTCCCAGTACCCAAGATTTGTAATGTCTTAGAGATTCAATAACAGTTTCTTGGATTCATGAGTGTTAAATCCATGGAACTGTTTGGAGGGATAGGCATTTGATTCATTTTATCACCGTCTGAAGTTTCTTGAATTTATGTAAATCGTCACTTTTGCCCTGAGTTTGTCATTCCCTGACCAGGTAGTTTAGGACAAATTGCTTTTTTGAACCACATTTTCATCTTTTGCAGCATAGAGAAAATGGTAATCCCTATCTGCTGGATTCTGAGGATTCTGAGATCTCCTATGTGTATAATGCTCTGAGCTCAGTGTTTATTCCAGTACTCTTTTGGATTTGCAGAAATTTAAATGCATACTTTCATTTTAGGAACTTAATAAAAAGGATATTCAAACTACTTCACTCATTTTGGTTTCTATTGGAAGATGTGGCAAAAATATCAACATATTAGGACAACCTGGACTTACAACCATGCTAAAACAAGGACTAGTCCAAAAGATAAGTACAGAATATGTGACATACTCATGCAAGGAAAACATGATTAAAGATAAAACTTTCTGTTAAAACTGCTAAAACAAAAATGGAGAAATGTTGAAAAATAAATTTGGGGATTTTATATAAAACTTGGAGAATAAAATAAATATTTTTATGTTGTGTAATACAAAGATAAAGATTACAGCAAAACTGTACATTATGTGAATTCCATGACAGTTGTGTGAACTTAAGGTCACAAGACTTTGGTAGGCCTTTACTTGGCTTTGGTTTCTCTTTAGTCCTTTTTAATCATCAAGTATCTCCTCTGATGTAATAAAGGATAGTGATTTTTGTCTTTTTATTCATTGTTGTATAGCCAGCACCTAGAACAGTAGTATCTGTCATACAGTATTTACTCAGATACCTGAATTAAGGTGAAATAATACTAATACTAATAGTACTAATACTAAGGATACTAGAATAATTAAATAGTGATGATAATTTGTTTTCATCTATGATATACTTGCATTAAAAAATTGAAGGGGAAAATAAAGGTCCTCTCCCTGGAATTAAGATTCATTTTATCCATTCCCATCTTAAACATGAGAAAATATATGTTAACCTAAAAATAAAAACAAGGAGGATATTAAAAAGCATAAATTTATTTTGGTGCAATACTAAACTAGTTACTTTTTTTTTAGACAGGGTCTTGCTATGTAGTTCAGGCTAGCTTGGAACTCACTATGTAGCCCAAGCTGGCTTTCCATTCATGACAATCCTCCTGCCTCAGCCTCCCGAGTGCTAGGATTACAGGCATATGACACCACTCCTGGCTTTAAATTTTAACTTTTAACATCTTTTTATTCCTAGGTTTACTGTTTATTTATTTATTTATTTTTTGGTTTTGGTTTTTCTCCGGTACCGGGAACCAAACTCACGACCTTGCGCTTGTCAGGCAGGCGCTTTGCCGCTGAGCTAAAGCCCCAGGCCCCAGGTTTACCGTTTATACAAGTGCATTCTAAAAACTATTAAAATGTAATTTAAAGTAACAAATATTTGTATTTCTTTTTTTTTTTTTTTACATGGTTGTCTGGTTTGAAAAATCCAAGGAGATTATTCTGAGTCAAGGAAATTCAAAAGACGAAGCTGTTATAAATATGATAGAAGACTTATTTGATCTACTTATGGTAAAAATCACCTTAACTGATGTTAGAAAGCATGTATTTATTCAGAAAACAATTTATGTTCTCAATTTCTTGAAGCTTGAGTGTTAACAGATTAATTAAACTTGGCTGGATTAGTCTATTCAGAGTGTATTAAGCATTTATATGGTTAATATGGCTAGTTAATAACTAAAAATTAAATTGCTATGAGTTAAATACAATGCCATTTTAATATTTTAATAGCTTATAGCAAAAATTGTAAATTGTAAATTATTATTCATTTTTCTAGGTCATACATGACATCAGTGATGAAGGTAAAATAATCATTTTATTTCTACTAGAGCAATAATATGTTGTTAGCCTTTAGTATAATTTTGCAATTCCCATATTGTCCTAATATTAGGAACTCATTATCTAATTCAGGGACCCAAAAAATTTTTTCTGTAAAGGACCAGTAGTAGAATTTTATATTTTTTAGTCAAGAGAAAAAAACAAGAATATTACATATGTATTTCTATAATAAAGAAAACAAACTTCTGTTAATGTTTTATTATTGAAATTAAGACTATCATAATTGATTAATTTTTTACAATACAGATTTACTAATGAGAATAGCATTCTTTTTGAAGGGACAACATTTAACTTAATTAGGGTTTAAAGATAGTGTATCTTGTATTCAAAATTGATTAGATATGTTCATTTATTAGTTTATTTGTACAGAGATTTGTTTATGCGTGTCATTTATTTTATTCCTTCTGATGTTCTGATTACTTGACCTTATTCAGAACTATACTAGTGTAGCCTTTAACTCAGAAAAAGACTATCTTTTGATTTATAATTAACATGTATTAATAATGTAACACTTTTATTCAGGTAAAAGACAAGTAATGGAAAGTTTCATACCTCTAATTTGTGCCTTGGTTATTGATTCAAGAGTGAACATTTGCTTTCAGCAGGAGGTAAAGTCATTTGACTATCTTTTAAAAAACTAAAAATAAGAAATTGAAGAAAATGGGATAATAATTCATTAGATTAAAAAGTTAATTTTATTTTGGACTAAATTAACTTTTTGGAATATATTTCTATTGCTTTATAATTAGTTTTAAGACCATATTTCCTATTTAAAATTTATAATCATGTGGGTTTGTGTATGCCTAGAATCTTGAAAATATATTACACTATCCAGGATTAGGGATTATTAAGTATTTAAATGTCAAAAATAACCTTTATCCGTGTACATGGATGTAACCAGAAGAATAAAAATTAATAGGATAACTTTTGGGCATCCCTAAGTCCTAAAGTAGAATCATAATGTCTAATTTTATAACCAGCTATCCCTCAAACAAAGGGCTTATTTCTAAAACATACAAAGAAATGAAAAAATCAGACCCCTCCCAAGTTGAAAGACCTAATCCAAAAATGGGCATCTGAGATGAATATATACCTCTCAGATGAAGAAATACAAATGGCAAATAAATATATGAAAAAAATGTTCAACATCACTGGTAATTTGAGTGATGCAAATTAAAACCACACTGAGATTCCATCTCACTCCAGAAAGAATGGCTGTCATCAAGAAATCAACCAATAACAAATGCTGATGGGGCTGTGGGGCAAAAGGAACCCTTCTCCACTGTTGATGCAACCACTGTGGAAATCAGTGTGGAGATGCCTCAAAAAACTAGGATTAGAGGTCCAATTCGACCCAGCTATTCCCCTTCTGGATATCTTCCTAGAATTAAAAACATACCAAGTGATATATGGGCGCCCATGTTTATAGTAGCACAATTTGTCATAGCTAAATCTTGGAAACAACTCAAATGCCCATCAACCAAGGAATAGTTAAAAAAGGTGTATTTTTTATACAGTTGAGTAATACTCAACCATAAAGAAGGATAAACTTGAGACTTTTATAGGTAAATGAATATAACTTGAGACCATACGCATACATGAAATAAATCAGACTTGCATGTGTAAACATCGTATTGTTTCCCTAGTGTGAGAAGCTGAAAGAGTAAGATCCAAGATGTACAATAGATATTGTGAAATTGGAAGAAATTTTTCAAAAGGAAAGAGAAACTGGGATGGGGGAAGGGAAAAGAAGAAACGAGAAAGGAAATATATAGGTATATAGGCAGATACACACAGACACAAGATAGTTAAGCGGGTTATATTACTAATTTAGTTCATTGAAAAGGGCTTGTGCTAATATTGTTTGGTCAATTTTACATGCCTGTATCTTGTATTCTGAGCTACTGCTTTGAAGATAATACACAGTGTATTAACTATTACTACTCTCCTATTGTTTTGAAATTTTGTTTCATTGTTTTTTATTGTTTTTTCTCTTTAAAAAAATACTTAAAAGTCCAGTTTTGCAGAGTATAAATGTTTTATTACAGGAGTCATATTCTATTTTTTATGTCTTTTAGCTTATGTATTTAATATTGACTGCCTTTATATATATACACACACATATATGATACATACTTTATATCCTTTCCTATACCCTAGTCCATTCCATGCCTAAACTGCAGTTATTAAGAACAGACTAGACTACTAAGTTTATGTGCCTAAACAATGTTTTACTGAATATGAAATTAATTCATTATCTTACTTTTTCTTTTCTAGACTTTGAAAAAAATGAATGCCATGCTTGACAAAATGCCGCAAGATGCCAGGAAAATACATTCTAACCAAGAAATGTTAACTCTCATGTAATAATTTGTACTGTATTTTATTAGTACATGTTATAAGTTTAAAGAATGTTTTATAAGGCAATCATGAATTTGCATTAAGTAATTGTAACTTATAAGCTTTGTTTTTAATATAGCAATACATTTCTGCAAAAGTTATACTCACTAGTTGTAAATTTCGGTGACTCTTCCCATCCCAAACTCTTGCGCTTTCTATTTGATTGATAACTAGTTCAGTATAAAATCTGTTATTTTAATTCACAGGAATAATATGGGAGAAAGGATTTTAGATGCTGGAGGTAAGTATATCTTTTCAAGATTTGGAATTATTTCAGATTTATGACTAGTGTATAATATCTCTTTAGTAAAAATGATATTAGCATTGCACTGTGATGAGAGTACTTGAAGGAATTAAAATGTTGAGTAAAATCAAACAAGTTTTAAAGTACTTTAATACAAATAAGTGCAAAAAGAAGACTCTTTGGGACAAAATAATTTGTCATGACAATAGAAGTTAGATAAATATAATTTTTTCTAATGGTAGTTTATAAATACTAAATTAATTTTCAAATAGATGTGACTTATTTGCTGTGTTATTCCTCAAATGGTATTTTATGAGATTAGGATGTGTGATACCTTTTGGGTTGGCAAACTTTTTTAAACAATATGTTTACTAAAAGAACTTAAATGTCCTTTCTTAGGTTTTCTATGAGAAAATTTTGATGTAACAATTTATGTATAGAATAAAGCATGATTTAAAGTAGCCTGGGAAACTGTAAACATGTTGTACAAAAGGAATGTAAAGATTAGATGATTTATTTGTGAGTTATTTTGCAAATTGCAACCCTAATAATGAAAGAGTAGTCTTTGAATATTTAAGAATTTCTTTTCAATTTTCTTTTAAATTTCACTTTTTTCTATTAGTAAACTTGTTTTTTGTTATTTGGAATTGATTAAATCCTATAATGATATTTGTAATTCATATGAAAAAAGTAGTAAAAAATGAATAAATTATACTAATGTTTTCTTATTTGTCTTGTTCTAATACCTTATAAAATGTGTGAACTTTTAGAGACTTAATTTTCATTAATTTCAAACCATACATTGATTAATAATTTTTTAATAGATTATGACTTGCAAGTAGGCATTGTGGAAGCTTTATGTAGAATGACCACAGAAAAACAAAGACAACAACTGGCATGTCAGTGGTTTTCAATGGATTTTATTGCTAATGCATTTAAAGAAATTAAAGACAGTGAATTTGAAACAGTAAGTAGTATTAAAAATAGAAATTAACAAATGTTTTAATTTAATTATGACTTTTAAAGTCTTTCTATCTTTTGATGATTAGGATTGCAGGATATTTCTGAACCTTGTAAATGGCATGCTTGGAGATAAGAGAAGGTAAACATAACCATTTATTAATAAACACAGCTCAAAAGAGACACCCAGTGTTGAGCTTCTCTAAGTGTAACTATTTGTTTTGTTATGTTCGAGTGTAAAATATGCATGGATATTTAATTTAAAACACTATTTTGTATAACTTCATTTAGTAAATGACTACACTGGTTATCTGAAATAATCCTTTAGTGGCATTACTTTGCTTTATACACTGCGGAGGAAAACTTCATTGTCATTTCATAGTAATAATTTTGAATGTCCAAATTTGATTTACTGTATTCAGAGTTGCTGTATTCAGAGTTGCATATCCATTATTGTTTAGCATTTGACTAATGATAAAAAACATATACATGTGTTTCTTCAACTACCTTCATTTACATATTGGGATGAAAATAGGTAGCAAACAAGTTGTCTTCCTTTGTAGGATTTCTCCCAGGTTACCTAACCTTAGGAATGAGCATGAAAGGGTTCATAATAGATGTTCTAAATGAATGAGTTTACGTATATTTTACTTACTAGGAAAATGAAGGGGTGTTAACTGTAAGGAGTCATATTGCCTAGATTTGAATTATAAATTCTATCCAATGGGCAGAGTTTTAAACCTTGTCTCTGTTTCCTCACCTGTGCTATCAGAATATTAATAATCACATGTTTTTGTGAAGATTAAGTGAAATAGTTTGAAATATCTGACCATGAAATAATTCTAAGAATTTAGCTATTTTTATTAGAATTCTTCACTTACACTCTTCTTTTCCTAATCCTATGGGCACGTCCATTGTATTAAGAGAATAAGCAATATCTGCTCACATTTGATACTACACACACAAAATTTGGTGTAATTATTTTAGTCAAAATGATAGGTTGAACAGCATTGTCAAAGTAATATGGTTTTCTCTACTTACATGCTTTCATTACTTTTTTAAAAAAATAAAGACTATTTAAAAAGCTATGACTGCTGCTGGGTTTCTCTTTGATTTTAGGCATAGTTTTTATGACTAAAGATTATACTGTGAAGGCTTATTAATCTTTTAAACTACTTTGTATTTTAGGGTCTTTACATTTCCTTGTTTGTCAGCATTTCTTAATAAATATGAGGTGAGTTTTTAAATTTAGTATGTTTTAGTTACAGGATGAATTTTTATGCAAAAGACAAATTATGGGTTAAATTGATAAAAACATAAAAATGGTTATAATTAGGTCACAGATACAGCTGACCTAGTATGCTCTTTATGCCAGTGACACCAGAAAAAGTTTTACTAATCAGCATATTTATAACCAAGAACATCCTAAATATAAAGGTTTTAGCTCTTCAGATTTCCTCCTGTTCCCTCAATCAAGTCCATTGTTTATCACTCGTGAATATATCCACACTAATACTTTCAAACTCTGGTAACACTTGGAATAGTTGTGATTTTTTTGAAGCTAGCTGATTTCTATACAAGTTTTTAAAATATCATTTCCTTGGATTGTTTACAAATTTATCTAAATGTCCTATTTGTCTACTCTATTCATCTAGCTATACTTGTTTTTTTCTTTTAATAAAGATTTAGGGAACATACTGTCTTATGGAATATAATGTTTCTAGTATTAAAAATGAAGCCAATTAAGATAACAAAAATTGGTCGTTAGTATAACTTCATTATTTTGTTTTTTATAAGCATACTATGTAGTAGTTTTATGTATTTATTTTCTTAGCTGCAAATACCATCAGATGAAAAACTTGAAGACTTTTGGATCGATTTTAATCTTGGGAGCCAGACTCTGTCATTCTACATTGCTGGAGATGATGTAAGTTTTATTCAGAACATCTTTATTCTGTGTATGTATATATGGATATATAAAACTTTAAATTCACTTTAAGAATATGGATTTCTTTGTTTATACTTCTAGTCATTTCTTTAATTTTATTGTTAGCACTTAAGTTTTGATTAGCATAGTAGCAAAGCAAACCAATTAGAAATGAAAGTTATTTCTGATACTTTCTTGAATAAAACTTAATACTAAATTTTAATACTAATTTTAATGATATTTTTAGAAATAAATTACATTAGTGATATAAAATTCTACATTCACATGAGCAAAGTTAAATTGACTTTCGAAAAGACAGCAGCAAGGAGAGTTTCAGTGGTAGAATGCCTGCTTAACATGTGCAGGGCACTAGGTTTGATTCCCAGCACCACATTTAAAAATAAAAAGACAATGTTTACACGTGCGGGTGTGATTCATTTCACTTATGAGTATGGACTCTAGTTGCATCCATTTACCTATAAAAGCCTAGAGTTTATCTTTCTTTATAACTGAGTAATATTCCATTGTTTAAAAATACCACATCTTTTTTATTCATTCCTCAGTTGATGGGCATTTGGGTTATTTTCAAAGTTAGCCATTACAAATTGTGCTGCTAGGGGCTGGGGATTTAGCTCAGCGGCAAAAGCGCCTGCCTGGCAAGCGCAAGGTCGTGAGTTCGGTTCCCGGTACCGGAGAAAAACCAAAAAAAAAAAAAAAAAAAAAAAAAAGAACCTGAAAGAGTAAATAAAATCTGAAAGATACAATAGATATTGTGAAAGAGAAGGAAACTGCTCAAAAGGAGAGAACAACTGGGATGAGGGAAAGGAGAGAAGGAAGGAAGGAAGGAGGGGAAATTACATGTATGTATATGTATATATACGCACCTAAACACACACTACACACACACACGGTAGCTAAGATAATTGTACTACTAATTTCTATTGGTTTATTGAAAGGAATAATTAATTGTTTGATCAGTATTACATACTTATATCTGGTAATCAGAGCAAGCACTTTGAAGATAATGACATGTCATACAACAACCATTGTTAATTTCTTATTATCTTGTTTTGAAATTCTGTATTTTTATTGCATTATTGTTTTTGTGTTACTCTTGTCTTTGTTTTTGTTACTTTGTTTTGTTGTATTTTGTTGTTTTCTTTTTAAAATTTAAAAAAATAAAATACAAAAAAAAAATAAAAAGACAGATACTTATTACTCAAATGTTATGGCATAACTGAGTCCAGGAAAGGAATTACACCCAGGGAAGTCAGGAGGCAGTGAATAGCTTTATTTTACGCTTCTGGTCCTGGCTGGAATAACTTCTAGTAGAAGCCAGCCTGCAAGTGTCCGTCAGCCAGCATTTTTATATGAGGCATAAGCAGGGGTTACAAAGGCAGGACAGGACAGCCTGGCAGTTCTTCTGATTGGCTGGCAGGGTGAGATTAGTGGTTACAGGGCTAGATTAATGACCACGAGGCTTGGTACAGTCAGACATCCTGTATATTTGGTTACATTCAGGGGTCAAGAAAGCAATTACAGAGCCATGAGGCAGTTACAGAGCTAGGCAGGCTCAAAGAGAACAGAGTATTAAAAGGAACAGCTTTTCCTTGTGCAGTTTTCCCTTTCATGATGCTGTATAGAGGTACTCTTAAAACTAACATTATGATTGAATAAAGCCATTTATTATCATCTCTTAATCTCTTTTAACATAGGGATTGATTTATGGATTGCATTTGGAAGTGAATTTTAGCTCTTTCTGTGCTATACCATATCTGTGTTTAAATATTCTAAATAGAGGCCCTCTTATTTTTATTTGAGGAAAATCCCTGAATCACTGTTTTGTGACCACTAACACCTCTTATTTGGTGTATTGATATATTTCTAGCTCCAATTGTGTAGTCACTACCAAATCCTGAGTGAGACTTTATAGCATTTACTTTATAGCATTCATTTTGGCTAGTGATATTTTAGTTGTATTAGTGTATTTCTTAGAATACTACTTTTTTGTATAAAGGTAAACTTTATCAGACAAATTAGCCAGATACCTTTTAGTATTTCCACATACTTTCAATTTTTATTTTATACTGCTTTCGTAGAATGCTTTATTAAAATCTAGTTGTATGAACTTGTACTATCTCTCCAAGGATTACAGTTTTCATTAGTATGTTTTTCCTTAATGGGTTGTTAGTAATATTAGCTGAATTTTCTTTCAGGAACAGGAATTTTATTTTTATGAGAAGACAGTAGTATTGCCTTCATTCATTGGACTGTTGGATATAGGCCAGAAAATAATCAGAAATACAGCATTATACATGTGAGGGAAATCATAAAATACATTTATAAAGTACATTCTAGATAGTGATTAAAGTGCTGAGGGATTCATCTCTCCCCAAATGTATTTCACATCTTCTCTATGTTCTCCTTATAGTCACTCTTATTCTACCTAGAAATAATTTTGTATGTAGTGGCAGCTTAAACTGTTATTTTGTTAGTTTAATATGGTCTACAAGGCTCTATGTGCTTAGCCCCTGGTAATTTCTCTGAAAATCTGTTACCATTCTCTGTTGAGGCAATCATCTCTTTACCTCGATCATGTTCACCCTGGTTTTACTGTTTCCTGGTTTGTCAGCCTACAACACCTCCTTTAGATCTTTTTGTGTTAACTCGTTCCTATTTAGGTTTCAGCATAAATCTTACTTTCTTACAGAAATCTTCTCTGGTCACTCAGTATGATGTAGCCCCATAACCACATAATATCACATTGCCCTGTTTATTTCCTATATAATAGGTGTTGCTGCTTAAAATCATTCGTTTATTGTTGTCTGGTTCTGCCAGACCATATGATATTCATGGAATAAGGGCCAGCTTTTCCTTGTTTGTAGCTATTCAAGGACTCATAAAAGAATGAATAAATGGAATATTGAAAGATCTGTGATTAGTGCATACAGTGCATGGGAGATTGGAAAAACTAAAGCAGTTTAGAGCCAGCGAATAAATATAAGAGGTAACATCAATGAATATTTATTAAAAACTTAACTAGGTGTCAAAAACATACTAGGTACTAGGGAACAGATTCATGTAAAAAGTATTCTGCGGCTATGGGGATAAATTTAAAAGAGGCAAGACTAGAGGCAGTCACAAGGGTTTTGTAACAAGCCATGTGAGAAATCACGGTTACTATAGTTGGGATAAATGAAAATGGATGAATTCCAAAAAAGCTGGAAAGAGATAGAATTGAGTAAACTTGATTTGTTTGTAGTAAAAAAAGGATTAAGAAAACTTAGGTAACCAGATAGAAATGTTTCACAGAAAGATACATTTTGTAGGGGAAGGATAAAGAGTTTAGCTTTAAGTATTAAGTTGGAGACATTTGTGGACTATTTAGCTGAAGATGTCTGGTAGGCAGTTGGATATATTGGTTTCCTACTCAGCTGTAAAAACTGAGCCACAGGTAGAACTATAGAAGCTATTTATATATAGGTGATAAAGCCATAGAATTTCATGAATGCCTTTATGAAATAACTACAAAACATGTATTTCTATAATATAGGCAGAAGAAGCTCTAGTCCAAAGAATATTTGGAGAATAAGCTAAAATAAACGGGTATATAGTACTACAATAAGTCAAGGCAAAAAGGTTTTTTTTAAGACAGCTACATTGTGAAATACTTCTAGGGTGTGGAAAATTGGTAACTCATGAAAGAGCAGTGTCACTTAAAGGATGAAAAGTTTAGGCATTCCTGAAAAGTTGAAATCTTTATAGAAGAGGTCAAGTTAAGGGAAAGAGACCAGGGTAGTAGAATAAGATGTGAGGTGAAGAGAAGATTGAAGGAAAAAACTCAGGGTAAGAGAAAGGGAAAGAATGGAGGGAAAATTGAATAGGTCACCATAAAATATGGATAATGGAGGGTAAGAGTACTTGGGGATTTTATACTATGATTTCTACTCATAAATTTTTTAATTTCTAAAGTGCCCATAATGTTAAACAAAAAGTGGAAACAACAAGTTACCTCAGTATGTGAGGAAGAAAGAAGAGTCACTTTGAAGTTGGTAGAGACAGTAATAGTGTAGAATATGACAACTGGCATGTAACTCAGAGCAGAAAATTCATGCGAGGCAGCTCAAAACTTTGCAGAGAGAAGAGAATGGCAGCACTTTTCTTTTGACAGAGAGATTTTGAGTTGTGGCAAAATGAACACCCTAATTGGAGATAGCTAGAAAGGTAGTGTTGCCCTTAGTAGATGAATGGTTTCAACAGAGGCAAAAAAGTGGAGGGAATTAGTGAAGAGATTAAGGATTTAGAAGAATTTGTATAGAATAAATTGTTCTAAAATAACAGAAGAATTGGTTATATTTTTCTTCACAAGATTAGTGGAAGGCTTTTTTTTTTTTTTTTCCGGTACGGGGAACCGAACTCACGACCTTGCGCATGCCAGGCAGGCACTTTTTTGCCGCTGATCTAAATCCCCAGCCCCTAGTGGAAGGCTTTAGGGTCCCTTTTCCATAACTGGTATCTAATTTCTAGCTATCTATTTCTAGCTTTGAATATAGTATCATTTTAATCAGTTTACACAAATTTCAGTGAAAACAGTTGGAAGGGCAAACATTTTAGACTACTATTCATGTGCATTCAGTATTTGCTTCTTGAGGATAATCAGTGGTGAGTGTCATAATTTCAACCACTGTAATAAGTAGTAGGAGTGGAATTAAGGAGTGACAATGGCTGTACAATATTTCAAAGAAAAAAAAAGATATTGTTAGCTTTTTTAAAAAGGGTATTGCTGCATACTTTTTTAGGTTAAGAATAAGAAAGTGAAACTTATACCATCATATAAAAAGAAAACATCTTTTTTATCCATTTATCAGTTGATGGGCATTTGGGCTGTTTCCAAGGCTCAGCTATTACAAAGTGCTGCTATAAACATGGGTGCACATATATCACTGTAGTATAGTGCTTTTAATTCTTTTGAGAAGGTACCAAGCAGGGGAACAGCTGGGTCAAATGGAATCTCTAATCTTAGTTTTTTGAAGAATCTCCACACTGATTTCTGCCATAAAGAAGAATAAATTTGAGACATTTATAGTGAAATGGATGGATATTGAGACCATGATCTTACGTGAAATAAATCTGGATTCATATGTATAAATATGTTTTCTTCCTGATGTGGGAAACTGAAATTGTAAATAGGAACCAAAATATATAATAGATATTGTGAAATAAGGAGTAATTGTTCAAAGGGAAAAGGGAATTGGGGGAGTGGAAAGGAAAAGAAAAAAATGAAAAAAAAAAAGGATAAAATAGAAACAAAGCTTTGTAAATAAGGAGGGGAAGGGGTTGAAGAGCAAGGGCAATGGGAAAAAAGAGAAATTAAGATATATCATGTACAGGTATAAATTCCCTATGATGAATATGATCATTCAACATGCCTAAATTGTACCAATAAACTTATTTTAATTAATTAATAATAAAATTAGTACCATCATTTCCTCTTAAGAGCGAATAGATTAAATGTAGCATTTAATCAGTGGAGCAAGAAATATGTTACATAAACTTTTTACTTAGTGCTATTTCTAAAAATAACTTGTAGTTTATATAGTTTAAAATTGATGTTTAAAGAAATTTAAATAATTAATTACTGTTAATAATCAAAATCTGTTTTTAAATTTAAGGATCATCAATGGGATGCAGTCACTGTTCCTGAGGAAAAAGTACAAATGTACAGTGTTGAAGGTACTAAAATTGTTTTTTATAATTATCTCTTGAGCCTTATATGGAATAGAAGCTGCATCTTTTTTGGGATAAGAACATTAGACTGATGAAAACAAAGTCAACATTTTCAGATTTCAGTATTTATAAATACTTCAAGTTCCGTACCTGCGTCTTCTTCTAATCTCCCAGGTACCTCCTCTTCATTCAGTCTAAAACCAGTGATCAATCTGACCACTTTCTGGTCAGTATTTTTAAGGCTTTTGCATTTCCATCTCATTTTCTTAATTAAAGCCAAACATCTAGTTTCCCCATTTTTGTAAGTAGAATTGTGTGACACTACTAGACAAAATCATAACTTGGCAGGTAGATACCATTATAAATTTAGATATTGAGACATGTTTTAACTATTTCAGTGAACATGTAGGTGTATCTCATTATGGTTTTTATCTGCATTTTCCAGATGACCAGTGATGTTGAGCACTTTCCATGTGCTTATTGGACATTCATATATCTTCCTTTGTGAAGTAGCTAACATTTTTTCAGTTGTTTTGATTGAACTATCCTTTTATTATTGACTACCAGGAGTTCGAATGTATCCTGGATATTAATATTTTCACTAATACGTTTAGTATTTTCTCCCATTCAGTATCTTGCTTATTCATTTCTTAATGGTGTCTTTGATGAACACAGATTTTTAAATTTGAAGTCCGTTTGATTAGTGTTTTATGATAATTGCTTTCTATAACCTAAGAAATCTTTGCCAGGCTAGGGATTTAGCTCAGCGGCACAGTGCCTGCCCGGCAAGCACAAGGTCATGAGTTTGATTCCTGGTACCAAAAAAAAAACCAAAAAAAAAAAATCTTTGTCTATTTCTGTTACAGAGGGGTTCTTCTGGTTTTCCATAAAAACTTCATGGTCTTATTTGTATTAATATGATCCATCTCAAATGAATTTTTGGTTATGGGATTATATAGGAGTTGAAGTTCTTTTTAATATGGCTGTGCAGTTATTCCAAGATTATTTGCTGAAATAACTTCGCTTTCTCCATTGGATTTCTTTGGTTCCTTTGTTGAAAATCATATGAAGTAGATCTTTTCCTTGGTGCCTTCATCTGTTTCTTTGAGCTGTTTGCCTTTCTTTTATGCCAGTCCCACAGTTTTATGAACTTTTTTTTTTTTGTTTTATGAACTTCTACAGTTCCTGTAAGTATTCCAGGATTGTTTTTGGAAAGTGTAGGCCTTTTGAATATCTTCATATATTTTAGAATGTTTTCATCAATCACTCCAAAAAGCTTACAGAATTTATTGTAGAGTTACATATCAGCATGGGAAGAATAACATGTTAACAATAATGTTTCAATTCATAAATATATATCCCCACTTATTTAGATACTTCTTTATATTTGCCCCCTTCTAACTTGTTTTATAATAAACTTCATAGAATTTTCTTCTGAAATCTTTCATTTCTTCCAATTTTTTTTGTATACTAGAATTATTTTAAAGGCTATTTTTTAAAAAAGTTTTTAATTTTAAAAAGAATAAAAAATGAAAACTACAGAATTTCAAAACAAGATGATATAAAATTAACAGTGGTTGTTATATTGCATATTGTTATCTTCAGAGTAGTTGTTCAGATTACCAGATATAGGCATGTAAAAAAACGGAAGGAAACTGCTCAAAAGGAAAGAACAACTGGGATAAAGGAAAGAAAAAAAGAAAAGAGAAAAAAAAAATATATATATATACACACACACAAAATAGCTAAGATAATTATACTCCTAATTTCTGTTGGTTTATTGAAAGGAGCAGTTAATGCTTAAAACCATATAATTATTAACTGTAACTCTTGAATCATCTTTGGGTCATTTTAGGTCCATTTTTTCCTTTCTCAGCATTCATACATTTTTTTTCTTGGCATGTCAAGTAACTTCATGTTAAAACATTTCATATAAAAACAAATACACGTGCGCCACCATGCCCAGTCATACAGACACATTAGTAAGTGTACTTTACCAGTTTTCATGGCATGTCTATGCAAGCATGTCGATGATAACATAAATCACTAAAGCAGCAGCTATTTTAAAGGATTTATAATTTTATTAGTATGTATTTGTAGTACATATTATAAATGTTCATCTTTGGAATGCATTTGAAGTGTATATTAGATGTGGGTTCTTTGTTCTTGCATTTCTTATTCCCTCTGTGTTTTTTAAATAGTGAAAGTAACAATAAAAATGATACAGAATTTCAAAGCAAAACAAAACAAATACAGAGGCTCCAGGTGGTTCTTCCACTTGCAAGGGTTTGTCTTTTTAGGAAGAATTGATTTCCATTCAATCGTGGATGCTAGTCTACGTTGATTCTCATTTTAGGTTTACTCTCTGTCTTGTTTGCCTGTTTTTTTCAGGTGTGGTCACTCCAGTCTCTTGACTATGAACTGGGTTTGGATCTTCTGAACTTGAGAGAGACAGTGGAAGATACAATACTGCCTTTAAAAGATCCTAACCCTGCTCTCCAGCCTCTCATTCTACTCAGTCCAAAATTCAGTAAATGTTTTGAGGGGGAAACTGACCTTGTGCTTTAGGCTAGCCCCTCTTTCAGGCAGCATTTTCTTCTAAGCCTGTGATACTAATGGGGCATTAACTGTGCTTTTAAAAAAACTTAATAGCTACATAATAACCACATGTAATTATGAGGTACACTAGTATTCCCACATATGTACACAGTGGAAGTCCTACCTAGGGCAACTGGGCAAGAGAAGACTTGCTTTTTTTATTTTAAACAGAGTAGTAAATGAGAAACAAACAAAAAAATAGAACAGTAGCAGCATACCAGTATCACGAACATAAACAAATCAAAGCAAGAACATTCAAAGTGATACAGGGTCTCAAGACAATATAAATCAACAGTGGTTGTTACATTATATAGCTATCCTCAACTACATTGCTCAGGTGTAAGAATGAAAGATTGCTCAAACCATTAAAGAGAATAAGGAAATCCTTCTTTGATAAAACATTAGAGATAATACAGAGTTTCACTAGACAAGATGGTAGGAGTTCACCATTGTAATTCCATTGCATATTGTTACTTTCAAATCAGTTGCTCAGACCACCACACACAAACATGGAAAGTCGATCAGAACATAAAACATTATAAGCATTAACTTCATTTCAATATTCTGTCAGACATCAGCAGTAGTCATCGCAGCTGTTCATACTTATATATTTATATTTTGCCTTCTTTCTTTTTTCTTCTTTCCCTCATCCCAGTCATTCCCTCCTTTGAGCAGTTTCTTTACCTGTACTATCATCTGTTGTAGGTCTTGAGCTTTACCTAGTCTTTCAGGTTTGTACACCAAGGAGACAATATGATGTTTACTCGTGTGAGTCTGATTTATTTCACTTGGTCTCCAGGTACATCCATTTACCTACAAAAGCCTCGAGTTTATCTTTTTTAATAGCTGAGTAATACTCCATTGTATAAAAATGCCACAACTTTTTTATCCATTCCTCAGTGGATGGGCATCTGGGTTGTTTCCAAGATTTAGCTCTAATAAATTGTGCTGCTATCAACATGGATGCACATATATTGCTGTGGTATGATGTCTTTAATTCTTCTGGGAAAATACCCAGAATGGGAATAGCTGGGTTAAGTGGGACTGCCAATCCTAGTTTTGTGAGAATCTCCAAATTGATTTCCATAGTGGTTTCACCTATCTGTACTCCCACTAGGAGTGGAGTAGGGTTCCTTTCTCCCCACCACCTCTCCAGCATTTGTTATTGGTTGATTTCTTGATGATAGCCATTCTTTCTGAGGTGAGATGGAATCTCAGTGTTGTTTAAATTTGCATTTCTCGAATGACTAATGACGTTGAACATTTTTTCATGTATTTATTCGCCATTAGTATCTCTTCATTAGAGAAGTGTGTATTCATCTCAGATGCCCATTTTTTGTTTTTTTGTTTTTTTGTTTTGGTTTTTCTCCGGTACCGGGAACCGAACTCACGACCTTGCACATGCGAGGCAGGCGCTTTTGCCGCTGAGCTAAATCCCCAGCCCCAGATGCCCATTTTTGGATTGGATCTTTGCATTTGGGGGGCCTGATTTTTTTAAATTCTTTATATGTCCTAGATAGAAGTCCTTTGTCTGAGGGGCAGTTGGCTAAAAGTTTTTCCCAATTCATGGGTTTTCTTTTTACTTTATTGGTGATTTCTTTAGAGGTGCAAAAACTTTTCCATAAGATGAGATCCCAGTTGTTGATTCTTTGAAGTATTTCCTGTGCAGTTTGGTTTTTGTTCATGAACTCCACCTACCCCAGTGTTATCAAAATTTTTACCTAGTTTCTCTTCCAATAAATTTGGTGTTTCTGTTTTAACATTTAGATCTTAGATCCATTTTGACTTTAATTTAGTGCACGGTGAAAGACATGGGTCTAGTTTTACTCTTCAGCATGTGGAAAAAGCCAGTTTTTCCAGCACCATTTATTAAAGAGGCTATCTTCCTTCCATTGAACATATTTGGCCCCTTTGTCAAAGATAAAGTGACTGAGTGTGTTTGTAGTTGTATCTGTATCTTCTAATCTGTTCCATTCATCTTCAGGTCTGTTTTTGTGTCAGTACCATGCTTATTTTATCATAGTACATTTGTAGTATAATTTCAAGTCAGGGATTGTGATGCCCCCTGCCTTTCCTTTGTTGATCAAGATTATTTTTGCTGTTCTAGGCCTCGTCTGGTTCCAGATGAATTTCAGGAATGTTTTCTCTAGATCTTTGAGATATACTAATGGTATTTTAATTGGGATTACATTGAATCTGTACAACAGTTTAGGGAGTATGACCATTTTTACAATGTTGGTTCTTCCTATCCATGAGCAGGGAATATCTTTCCATTTTCTGATATTTTCTTCGATCTTTTTTTTCAGAGTGCTATAATTTTTACTGTATAGATCTTGTACTTCTTTTGTCAGATTGATTCCTATGTATTTTAACTTTTCAGATGCTGTTGTGAAAGGTGTGGTTTCCCT